TAGGCTATTTACCAGATTAGATGAGTGCAAGGATAAAATTCGAGGGGTGCTGAAGGGGAGATTGCCACCCGAGAAGGACTTGAAGAAGGAAATAGTTCAAGCTCTGAGGTCGTGCTTTCACTTAACTTATTCCTTATGTTGATTCTGAATGAATTCTTTGTACGCTTTCAGAAAACCAAAAAAAAAAAAAAAAAAAACAGGCGTTTAGAAACTTTCACATCTCAAAAACTTATTTGTATTCGTTTTCTCTTTTGTTTAGGTCAATTGAAAGGGAATATGATGACCTAAGCTTGAAGTCCCGAGAATCAGAAAAGGAGGTCAATATGTTGCAGGTGAAGATACAAGATGTAAACAATAGCCTGTCCAAGCATCACAAGGATACAGAATGTAAGCACTGGTGTATTGTTTAGAATAAGATATCTATTGGCCAGTTTTCTGACAACTTCGTCAGTGGTAGAAAATGCTCTTGACAACTTTGTCAGTGGTAAATATTAAGTGTCTTCTGTTTCCCCTATTAATTAATTTTGATTTTTACAATGTACCTTAACTAACATTTATAACGCAGAAGGAGTCTATTGTTAGTACACAGTGGATGATAGACAGTAATATCTATGCGCTCAATCTGATTTGTGTACTCTTTATGCAGCAAGAAAGCGATACATTGAGTCCAAGCTTCAAGCCTTAAAACAGGAATCATTTACCATTGATGCTTATCCCAGATTGCTGGAGTCAGCTAAGGACAAAAGAGACGAGCAGAAAAGGTTTCTGTTTGAAAATGGCAGACTCTTTCTACTAGCCCCATCACATGATTTTCTTGAATTCCAAGATATTTCCGTCTTGCATCTAAGCGTAGTTCTGTTTCTGGTCTGTGTATGCAGCAAATATAGCGTGGCAAATGGTTTGCGCCAGATGTTTGAACCATTTGAGAAGATAGCTCGTGAACATCATTTTTGTCCTTGCTGCGAGCGCTCTTTTTCAACTGACGAAGAGGATAACTTCGTTAAGAAGGTTACAAAATTTCCTTACTGTAGACCTTTTTATTCAATTCGTACTTTTTATGCTTCTGAAATAACTGTCTGCCTCTACATTTGATTATGCAAATTTCTATTCTACTACAGCAAAGGATTACAGCTTCAAATACGGGGGACCGTCTCAAAGTATTAGCAGCAGAGTCTTCAAACGCTGACTCTATCTTTCAGCAGCTGGACAAACTTCGCTCAGTTTTTGAAGAGTATTCGAAACTAACTAATGAAGCTATTCCTCTCACTGAGAAATCCTTGCAAGAGTATACAGAAGAGCTGGAACAGAAGTCTCAAGCCTTTGATGATGTGAGTTGCGGAGCTCTAGAAATTTCCCTGGATATAAACTGGTTTGCAGCAGCAAGTCAATTAGACATTAGAAGTCTTGTTTTCTGCGTTGTTGTGTTTCTTCTCAATCATGTTGTGATGCACGCAAGCTGGAAAATTACTTTTAGTTCAAATCTTCTCACGTCATATATCATCAAATTTTCAGGTATTGGTAATCTTAGCACAGATTAAAACTGACAAAGACTCAGTTGAAGCACTGGTGCATCCCCTGGAAACTGCTGATAGGCTCTTCCAGGAAATTGTATCCTACCAAAAGCAAATTGAAGATCTCGAATATAAACTTGATTTCAGGGGTCTTGGGGTTAAAACTATGCAAGAAATCCAATCAGAATTAAGTATCCTCCAAAGCAGCAAGTAAGTGTTTTGAATTTAAGCAGGGTAAAACATATTTCTTTTTTTTAATATGACTTGGTTTAGCATACACAGTTCCTTTCTTATGTACCCATGAACAGGGATAAATTGCACGATGAGCTGGAGAAATTAAGGGATGAGCAGATTTGTATGGAACGTGATATATCATGCCTCCAGGCCAGATGGCATGCACTAAGAGAGGATAAGGCTAAGGCAGCTAATTTGTTACGCGACGTTACAAAGGCAGAAGAAGACCTAGAGCGTTTAGCTGAGGAGAAAAGTCAACTTGACCTAGATGTGAAGGTGTGTCTTAAGAGTTTTCTTTAGATTGTTTTCTCACATGTCTTTCTATGTGTTACTTTTATAATTATTATCAGAGTTCATTGTTCATTGGCAAATATGGTTCTAATTTATTACGTCCATGATCATAATTGAGAGTTCTTCAGTGTGAGGAATGTGATTAGTGAATCATCTTCTTTATGATACAATTTGCTTACTCTATATGCAATGCAATGGAACACACTTTGATCTGTAACCTTGCTGCGTATAGATATGTAGGTAACAATAATTTTCTCTTTAGAAGTTTATTTAAAAAGCTTAAAGTATAATTTGTCTATGAGTCTATGCAAAAAGTAAACTTGGTCTTTTGTTCCTGTTTCTGCTTCAAATTGTTTCTGTCACATTAAATGTAGAACCCTTATATGTAACACAATCTTCCATTTCATTATTTTTCAGTATTTGACCGAGTCTCTGGGCCCTTTATCCAAGAAAAAAGAGCAGTTACTGAGTGACTACAATGATATTAAAGCTAAACGTAATCAAGAGTATGAAGAACTGGCTGAGAAAAAGAGAAACTACCAGCAAGAAGTTGAGGCATTACTTAAGGCCAGTTCTAAGATTAATGAGTATGTTTCTGTTAACCAAAGCTTAATTCATCACTATCATATGTACCAGATACGCTTACAGCTGCGTCACCAGGTATCATGATCTGAAGAAAGGAGAGCGGTTAATTGATATTCAAGAAAAGCAGCGGGTATCTGAATCCCAGCTTCAGAGCTCTGAAGCTAGAAAGATTGAAATTGCAGCTGAACTGAACAAAAGTAAAGACTTGATGCGGAATCAAGATCAACTGAGAAGAAACATAGAGGATAACTTGAACTACCGGACAACGAAAGCAGAAGTTGAAAAGCTCACACGTGAAATTGAATCATTGGAAGAAAGGATCTTGGAAATTGGTGGAATACCCGCAGTTGAAGCTGAACTTGTAAAAATATCGCGGGAAAGGGAAAGACTTCTTTCAGAGGTGAGCAGACTCTTGTATATTTATAGCAGGCATTCTGATTCAAAACGTAAAATGAATAGGCTTTTGGTGTATGGATAGCTAGTCAGTTTTACTAAGTTTAGCCTCGCTTGAAAAGCAGCCACAGAATATCAAGTAAGGAAAAAGGGTTTTGTTTACTTATTATCATTACTCATTTGTCGTCGCTGTTAGCAACTGCGATGTGTGAACTTCGAGTTATCCTGCGTTATTCTGGACTATCTAAACTCTAAAGATAACATTTCCATTGAAAGCTTCCAGAACCTATATTATTGTTCTTGAAAAAAACTTTATTTTTTCTTGTAGTTGAACCGATGTCGTGGAACCGTGTCTGTCTACGAGAGCAGTATTTCAAAGAACAGAGTGGAGCTAAAACAAGCGCAATACAAGGACATAGATAAGCGGCACTTCGATCAACTAATCCAGCTAAAGGTAAGAGATGATGTTATTATCTTGTGGCAGTGTCTTAATGCTCAACGAATACCACTCTATCTTCATATATCTAACATTTCATTTTCGCCAGACAACTGAAATGGCAAATAAAGACTTGGATAGATACTACAATGCCCTTGACAAGTAAGCTGTTCTTGTGTCCCTAATATAAGTTTTTCTGGTTAGTTGTTTTTCATTCTACACTACCCAATTCACAAAAATCATTTAATCTGCAGTTTATAACATGTATTTCCATTTAATTGAATGCATACAGAGCCCTGATGCGCTTCCACACAATGAAAATGGAGGAAATAAATAAGATTATTAGGGAATTGTGGCAGCAGACATACAGAGGTCAAGATATAGATTACATAAGAATACATTCAGATTCCGAGGGTGCAGGCACTCGGTCTTACAGCTACAAGGTACGCTGGAGAATTGACAAACATGCTTTTGCCATCTGATCACCATTTAAAATGTGGTAAACTATTTGTTTTTTTAGGTTCTTATGCAGACTGGTGATACAGAACTTGAAATGAGAGGAAGATGCAGCGCAGGTCAAAAGGCGAGTTGTTCTGAAATTTCTCTTATAGAATAGAAGCATCAACAACCTGTTTCATAATCTTGTAAGCATCGTTCTTTAACTCAGGTGATCACTTTCTTCTTCATCTTCTGCTGCAGGTTCTTGCTTCATTGATAATAAGGTTGGCTTTGGCCGAGACATTTTGCCTTAACTGTGGAATATTAGCCCTTGATGAGCCAACTACAAACTTGGATGGGCCCAATTCAGAATCTCTTGCAGGAGCTCTTCTTAGGTAAGAATCAAGATCTATACCCTCAGAGAAAGCAATGATTTATGTAACTAACACATGGCTACACTAAGATTCTTTTACACCGAAATTTAACCATCCAAACGCTGGAATAATCACTGTGCTGTATTACACTGTCTTATCATGGCTCTTAACATTGGATCATATTCTGTCAATGCATTCTCCAGGATCATGGAGGACAGAAAGGGCCAAGAGAATTTCCAACTCATAGTCATTACCCACGACGAACGCTTTGCTCAAATGATCGGCCAACGGCAACATGCTGAAAAATATTACCGTGTTGCGAAAGATGATATGTAAGCAAAACGTTCTTGCTGGCTATTCTCATTTCTTCTTCTTTCTATTCTTGCTTATTCCATTTTCTCTGAATCCAAAATCTGAAACTTCGACAACTCGTGATCTTTTCAGGCAACACAGCATAATAGAGGCCCAAGAGATCTTTGATTGATAAACTGGTTGCTTGTCCTAATTAACCAACATAATAGCATTAGCCAATGTTTAACGGTAAGGTCCGTTCTTTTTTTTTGTCGTGGCTCTGTTTTTTAACTTTACATATGGTTGATTAGAGGTGTGTAGAATTTTCAATAGAATTGAAAAATCGATGTGTAGAGGCACCTCTTTTAACCCTTTTTATGTTAAGTTATGCAACAGTCCAAATAGTACATGAGTTTGTTGATGTTATTGATAGTCCTATCTTTATAATAACTTTCGTCTTTATTTATGAACAACATAAACAACATTACAACCAACTATTAACCCATCGTTAATAGTTTCATATCATACACCTTTTTGGATTTTTTTGTTTTATCATATGATGGAAATTTGTTTTGTCAAATAAGAAATGAAGTTAGTAGACAGGACTAGCAACAGGAGTGAAACCGAGTAACTTCCTAGAATGGAGCCATGGTTGAATAACCAAAACAGAGTCAAACATCCTGGTCGTGCCATCGGGTTGACTCACTTCAATCCTTAGATAGTATTTGGTACCAGCCACGACCTGTTTCTGAGCCGACACAACTCGACTAAACTTCAATGGATTCAACACGGCTGGGTCTGTTTTCGCAATGGATGCTACGTTTCCTTGCTCGCTCTGTTCTTGTAGATTGAATTGCTCCACGCAGTACCTGTTGTGACCACACAAATCGCATCACATTTCTAGTCCAATACAAACGACATGTATGGTATGGATGTGTATATATATATATATATATATATATATATATGTATGTATGTACCTTCCAAGCTCCTGAATTTCCATGTTGGTCTGAACGTTCGAAATATCTGACTTCCCTCCGAGAACGACGGACTGCCTCGCGTTCGCCGATGGAGTCACGACGGCGATCAGCAGAAACCCCAACAATGACAATCTAAGAGAAACCTTCAACATTGCTTCTAACTTTTGTCTTCTACGTTCTGATATTTTGAGTGATTTGTTTGCCTCTTAAAGTCTGTTTCTTCAAACCTTTTGTTTTCCTTGGAGGCTGATTTGTTGTATTTGTGTGTGAGAGAAGAAGAGAGTGAGAGAAGTGTGTTTATATAGAGAGGAAGAAGAGAGCTTTGGGTTTGTTGGGTGTTTTGGGTTTGGGTGTACGTGAATGGGTCCCATGCCATCGGCACCTTCGGGGTTCCGCATCTTTTAAGTTACTAACTTTTATGAGTTTTTATCTCATCAACACGTGAAGTGAGCCCCACCCATTTTTAACGTATGTGAGATGCTCCGGATCTAAACAACGATATTCAAATCGAGTTTTTAGACTGACTATGTGATTTGTAACCCAAAAACCTAAAATCGTATATTTGTACAGTTTAAGATGTTTATAAGATCAATTAGTCTACAGTTAATATCGAGATAGGAAGACCTTTTAAATATTTAGAGCAAATATTATTGGTTGATCGGTATTATGTGTAAAACCAACCCACAAAGAAAAACCATAAATTGTGGAAATTTTCATCCTATATATAAAAAAAAAAAAAAAAAAATCTCTGCTGTTATTTCACGTTCACAAATTTTTTTCTTGTTATTTCGTTTGTCGTCAAATCAAACTTCTTTGGTTGAGAACTTCGAAGTTGGGATTAATATTCATATTTTGGTGGACCCGGCCAGGATTAACGAACGATTGATGATGGTATTAGTTAGTGTAAATCATATTATTTCCAAAAAGGTTAAATCAAACCTTTTGATATATGATATTTTCTATTCTAGATGTTTAATGTTTTATTTGTTCCTATGATCCATTGTTTTACAATTGCACCAATGAAACAAAATTAAAATGTAATTTGACCAACGGAATCATGGGTCTCTCTAGCCTTTCCTTATCGCCTCGATATGATTCTGAATTATTTTTGTCTTTTAGTTAGCTTTGTTATAATGCAAATGATGTTTGGGAGAGCGACACGTATCAACTGAATTTGACATCTGCCCTTTCTTCTCTTCGCATGCTGCTCACGTAGCACCTCCTCTTACGTATGCCAAACTATACAATAGTACACAACTACACATACATATAATAATTTCAAGCTGCTACGAGAAAAATAATATAGATAGGCGCATAATACCCGTTGTAGACGTATCTTAATGGTGGCTTTATCAGTTTCGGCTCAGTTTCGTTGAACCCAGCAAAACAAACAAAACAAGTAAACAACAAGAAATTCTAGGAACTTGATCAAGGATTTTTATTGTTTACATCAAATAATTAAAATAGTTTTTGTATAACTGTGTTATGTGTGATTAAAACAATGAGTATGTGAAATGTGAGATTAAATATCAGCAATATTAAAGTTTACTATTAATTATAATTTGATTAAAGTATGTATATAGTCAATACTTTGAAAGTTGAGCAAAAATGTGAAAATCATCACAAACATGTATGTTGCAAGAAGTTTGAAAATAAGAATTTCGTATTCATCCTACTATGAATATATATATAGCTAACTAACACATGAATGGTGAAAAAATATCTGAAAGATAAAACGATGGTAAGATAAAATGTTATTAGAAAACAGTTTGTCGACAAAAAAATTTGCGTCTTCCTGGTAAAAAAGGTTTTACCGACCTTTCTTGTTATAAGCCATATCGTATGTAAATACTCTTGAGTGGAAGAACAATATGTAAAAGAAGATTTGAGGTTGTCTTTGTTTGAGTGATGAAAAAATAAATTTATGATTGTGTATATTTAAAAGGGACATAGAGTTTGTTTAAGAAACTGCGGCTGTGGTGGTGGCGAGATTAGCGTCCTTGAAAATGGAAACAGAGGGAAACTCGAATCAAGTTTTTTCACTTTGGATTATTGTACCTCAATCAATTCTTTGTTACATTTCATAGGAAAATGAATATATATCAACATATGGGCCAAAACTTTTGACGTGAATGTTAATTTGAAGTTGGATGCTCATGTTAAGGATATTCCTATTATCCCAAAAAGAACAAGTTAAGGCTATTCTTCTGTTTTTTTGTCTTGGCAGTTTTCTGTTGACACTTAGTTACTCTAGGCTTTGTCTTTGCTTATCAACTTTATTATGTTTTCCTAAGTTTTCTACCATCATCTACAGAAATAGGCCGTACCATCTTTAGAAAGACCACTAAAAGGGCTATCTCTCCCTTCATTTTAGATTCTTTTAGTATTCCCATTATTAGCTATATAAAACTATACTAAGTGAGAAATACAGATAATGACTAGATAATAAAGAAAGAAAAAAATTGCAAATCTTTTCCGGAAAATGGGTATTATTTTTGAAGCATTACCATTAATTTCTTAATGAAGTTTCTTTTCTTCACATAGTATTTTGTATCCATCTACAACTGGTAAAATTTTCTTATCTATAGTTGAAATTACACTATTTAATCGAAAGAATATGAAACATTCTAGAAGAGAGATGAATATGTAAATACAATAACAAATGTAGGCTATATTCTATTTTTTTGGTATATGTTTCTCAGTCTTAAATTTCTCTCCTGGTTCCTTGTATTATCTTTACCACTTCCTTGACAGCAACATCGAAAGCATCTTCAAGAGTCTCTCCATCCGGTTTGTGTCGGTTTGGTTTAGTATACATAATCTTCGGAACCAATCTTATTACATTTTCTCTCATACCAATCACTTTCTCGTTCGGTATTCGGCGCAAAATCTCTTGAATTTTGTTCTTTCCCCCGGTTCTCAGCTCTTTAACCGGTATATAAACCGAATAATCGCTATTGTTGCTCGGTATGTGCCATACATATTGCTTGTAAGCACTTCCTTGGTTAAAGAAAACCGGAATACAACCAGCCAAGATCGAATCAAACACCGATCTTCTGGTTAACGAATCACCTGGCGGTTGCAAGCAGAAAACAGAGCTCTCAAAAAGCTTCATTAGACTGATTGGATCATCGCAGCTGCTGGATTTAACATCGCAGTCAAGAAACCTACACGTTTTAGATGAAGTCTTGCATTGTTGGATAACTTGAGTGCGAACCAAACCGTTCTTGCTTCTGCTTGGCCTTTGAGCTCCAGCAAATGAGAAGAGGATTGTCCTGTTTGTGAGCTTGATCTTGTTTTGCCACTTGAGGATCTCGACGGCTGAATTTGGGTGAAAGTAGGTTGGATAAGGAATTGAGAACTCGTTGTGGCTCGTTGGATTTCTCTCAATGGTGAGGAAAGAAAGGTTTTGTGACTCCGGCAAGAGCATCAAATTGGTTCCCCATCCAGATTTATTGTCGGAGTTTCGCTGGAAATCTCTTGAAATCCGACCGGTTACAAGGAAATGGTCTTTACCTGACATACCTGGATTTCAAATTTGACATAACTGAAAGTTTTATTTTGTAGTTTTGTCTAAACAAAATTGGCGGGGATTGACAAAAATTAAATTAAATCAAATTATTATAATGAACTGAACATTGCCTTAAAATAATTATTCTATTCACTAATCCATTTACATTTTTATTTGTATATTTTTCTGTAGTTGTATATTTTTAGCTAGCATTTAAAAAGTTTTGAATTTTCTCCTAAACAAAAAAAATAAAAATAAAAAAATGTCAGGGTTGAAAGTGAGAGAAAAAGAAAGTTATTGATTAAAATCGAAAATAATAGCAAGCGATCAAAAAACATTGGGGGTCAAAAACGAAAATTTCCAAAAGTAATAAAAACACGTGTACCTGTCCACTGAGGTTGCTTTTTGAGCCATTTAACAAGTTCCTTCCCGGCGGCGTCTCTCGCAGCGACGTTACGCCGCCGCAGATTTCGCCGGAAATCTAAACCAGCGTAATAAGGTACGTAAATAGCCGAAGCCAAAGACGAATTTAACGTCAAGCACTCGTATCTCTTCATTTTCTCGTGAAAAATCACTTCGAGCATGAACTGGTTAGTCGCGTACCAGCTCGGAGAGTAGTACTGAGAATCGGTGGAAACTCCGTCGCCGATCAGAGGTCCGAATCCGAAGTTGTCGAGGTACTTACACATACTGATTTTGTCCTTTGGTCTTGAAATCGACTCGCAATCTTGGAGTATGTCGGTGTTGAATCGAGAAGGTAGATTGTGGATATAGACAAAGCGTCCGAGACAAGGATCGTCTCCGAGTCCGGCGGGTTTGTAACGGTGGTGATGATCGGAATCGGAGGTAGTGGTGGTGGTGGTGGTGATGTGGATGATTTTGGTTTGGGAGAGACGAAGGAGAAGCAGAGAGATGGTGAGGAGAGAGAGCAGAAGAAACAGAGTAGTTGGTTTCTTCTTCATCGTTGTTGTGATTTTCTTGTGTTCTTGATTTGACGATCAGAGAAGAAAGGTCAGAGACTACACGCAAATGATATAATTATATATCATTATATAACTAATTTTTTGATAAAAAGTCTTCTTTCAGATATCAAATAGAATTGTTTTTTTGTTTTTTCTTTTGGTGAAATATCAAATAGATTTGTTTAGTTCCTAATAATTTCTAGATTATATAATCATCATATACATACGTAAGGTGTGTGGAAACTTCTTGTATCTCCAAAATTCTATATTTGGTCAAACAGCATGCCTCATTATAGTATATAAAACCTTTTTTATTTAATGTTTGCTAATGTGCTTTGCATGGTTAATTTTGCAAAGCCCTTCCTAATCTGTGGTTAGTTAGCTAGTAAATGACCTTTAACTCAATCAATTAAAGATTATTATAAAACTAAAATCAATTTATTTAAAAAAATTAAAATCTACAACCAAAGCAAACCAAAAGTATTTCAAGTGTCTAGTTTTCTAGTTCTGTTTTGTGTTAACCAGAACATACGTTGGTTGATTTGCGGCATTATTTTGACTTCAACGGTCTCTAAAGTAAACTCAGACAAAGACCGTGGCGACCGGTTCAACCGGTTTGATATCGACCTCTCGCAGCTCTAGCTTTAGCCCTTGGCCTCCTCCATTGGCCAATGGATGGATCCCGAGCTCAGGACCCGTCATATACGCCCTTGCCTCCTTCTCTCCCTCTATCGATACTCCAAACCGCTTCTCTGTCTCTGCAACCAAAATTAAATACTAAATCCATTCACAAACTACCAAATGATCGTATCTACATTATGCTAGCTAAACCAGCCTAGCTAGGTTGTTTCCATACCCAAGTCCAACCACAAGCTCCCAATGATTTATTATACTACATTGTGCCATATATAACGGATCTAGACGCCAATTAATTTTCATTCTAAATAAATAAAAATTGAAAGTAAACAAACAATATTAAAAATGACAATTGGTAACCAACCGCTGAATTTAGACGACCACCTATGATCGCTTAATAGCAAAAATACATAATTCCAATGGCTACAAGATAATCATTACGGTTATGGATACCTAGATAACCACCTAGACAGTTTTTCTTAAGACATTAATCAAAACTTTTTTCTTAGAAACTCAAACGTCAAACGCAAGAAATCTCACATTTTTAAAGTAAGAAATGACCTAACTAATATACGGATTAATTCTTACCCTGAATCATCTCGTGGAAAAGCTGGCCATCGCGGGTAACGGCCATCATGACACTAGGCAAACCAATGGGAAGCTCATGGCCCAAATCAACTTGCCAAAAATGGAAAACTTTGCCATAAGTCTTAGCGACTTTGTCAAGATCTTGACGCTGAATGGGACCAGGAACACCAGGCATGAACAAGAACCCTCCTTTCACTTCCCACTCGTGAGTGTGCCAAAGCTTCTTCTCTTCGTCAGGCAAAGTCATGAACAGCTTCTCTGTTACTATGTACTCCAATCCGATCAGACGAGCGTTTGCATCCGGACCGTCGTAGATCAGACACTGACGCATCTCTTCGTTCACGTGACTGCAGAAATGGTGAGCCTCTACTTGTCTCGTCATGTCGTCAGCATAAAAGTGGAACCTGCCAACACAAACATATTTACATAACATAACACGGTATATATCGTAACTAAAATGGAATTTTCAAATGAAACCAAATCAAAACCTTTTTTTCAAAAGAGTTTGGTATCATTAATATTTTTGTACTAGAACTCTACGGAGCCAATTCAAATATCAAGATTCACTATCAAGTCAATATATATAATCAAAATCGGTAATAAATATATTTTGTTTATTTTGTTCAAAAAAATTGGTTTAAATTTCTTAAGCAATTTCGAAAACGGAGGAAACCAAACCGAAAAAACGAATACAACCCTTTCATATCCAATAGTTTGATGGTTTAATGACAATCTAAGGATAAAATGTTTATTTTTGTTGTTGAGATCCAACAAATTTGATCCTTTGTAACTTAGAATACAACTTAGAAAGAACACAAGCAACCATATGTTTCTCAATTTTGCAATCAAGAATCACAACTAAATCTAATCCAAGAGAGATTTTAAAAGTTGGAATTAATAAAGATCAGGTTTACGTACGCACAGAGATGTTGGTGGATTTGGTTAACCGGAGCAAAACTTTGGACGGCGGAGGTGGCGGTGTCGATCATGGAGGTACCGGTTTTCGTTGCCTCCCCTGGAACCTCCGGTCCAGACGTTGTTGATGAGTGGACTGCCTTTTCCATTTTATAATTAATTAGTTGCTCTTCCTCTCCAAAATTGCCTAAGCAACTAAACAAACAGAGTAATTGCAAAGAGGAATAGATCATGCATTCATACTTGTGTGTGTGATCTTAAAAAGTATGCATGAAGTGTAACATGTGGCGAGCCCATAAGGTTACACTTGGGCATTTCAGCTTTTGTTTAGGATGGTATAACAAGAACTAGTCAAATGTTTTGAGTTTTTGAAAATCTAATTAGAGAAGTGTTTCTAACAAAAAAATTATGAATGATCCCCGTTAATTAAAAGCCTAGTATCGTAGGAAAGTTATAAAGTATTAAATTATGAAGAGTTTTCCTTGTAATGCAAGCAACATGTAAGATCTTTGAATTTCCATCTGTTTACTTCTCATGAAAGTAACGGAATTACACAAAAACACAGGAAATTTGAGGGGTTTCTAGGATTTCAGAAGTCTCTAAAACTCATTTTTGGGTCGACACCTTTTGAGCCTCTTCTCCCTCCTCTGCCTCGGCCTCTCCCTCGTCCTCTTCCCCTTCCTCCACGCCTCACAAAGGACCTACCATGTTTCACTTCAACCAGTGAAAGAAGCAACTCATCACAGAGAACGCATCCTTGATGCAGAGTGGCTCCGTTCTCCAGAGGAGTATTTTTCTTGTTGAAGTCGATCTCTATGATGGCTGAATCACACTCAGGACAACGGTTACTAGTGGTGGCGATGCGGTGAGCACCTTCCGGAAGCAAAACGATGCAGCTACACAAGTTGCAGTTGAGTTTCCACTTGGGGAAGCTCACCGGGTCCAAGACGAGTGTGCCTTCACACTCTGGACAAGCGCAGACTCCTTGGTTTCTCACAGAGTGTTGGCATGTGGGATGCGGACAGAGAGAACACGGCATGCCTGAACCGGTTTTATTTTTGGCAGAAATATTAGGCGTCTTAGTGGCTCCAAAGAGTGTGTCCATGCCTTCGAATGGAGGAGAGTTGTAGCAGTATGGACATAGTGGAAATGACTTCCCCTCGGATCCCGGAACTGAATAGATCACGAGCTCAAAGTTGTCTAAAGGACATGTGAGTTCCTTATATAGCTGTTAAGAAAATTCGTTAACAAAGGATTCAGCTTCATGTGAATAATAATAATCCGAAAAGTAGAGGTTCACTGAGGTTTCAGCTTAAGAGAGTTTAGGTAGTGAAAGGGCTTTTACCTTGACTGTGCCTTTTTGAGGAAGATAATAAACTTCTTCGCATGTGCCACAGAAAAGACGTGGTGGAACTGCTGTGATGTGTTTCATGTATCGCAAGCATTTTCCACATTTGCTTAAGGCGCGACCAGAATCAGCCAGAGGAGAGAACTGTGCTTCAAAGAGGGCATCCATGTGTTCGATCTTGAAAGGACAATATAACAGAGATATTAATTAGGACCAGATTTTAAATCACTTTATCTAACTAACGCCTTCAAAACAACAAATCATAAGCCACTTTTTCCCAACCTGTTGAACAAAATAACTGAATTTACGCCGGAATTGCTGAATCACATGTTGCACAACGTGTGAATGATCAGCTTGGCCCTTGGCAACAAGAGTGATTTGTTGTTCGATAAAGCTTCGTATGTCTGGTAGGCAAAGGTCGGGATCAATACATTGATAGCCTCTTATCAGTGTGATTCCTAGTGCCGTTGGAACCAATTTCCTACCAGATTGGACCTGTAAACACCAAACAAAAGTAATTAAAATTTCTCAGAAAACAAAAATGGATCCTCCTGAATTGATAACATGTAATCATGAAGAAAAGCATACCGCCTTTGGGTTAACCCACCTGAACATAGTTACGTTCACCAATGTTATTTATATGCACAGGTATTGATGCATCTGTGCCTATGCCATGTTTCTCCATTAGTGATATCAGCTCACTCTCAGTAAGGAAGTCCGGAGGAGCAGTGTTGCCCTGTAAATTTTACAACATTCAAAGACAAATAGAAACAATTAACTATACTAGAAACATTAAACCAATTTGTGTCCAACGAGAGCAGCAACAGAAACTGGAGAAGAATTTAACCTCGTACAGCTCCACTCTTAAGACTTCAATCTTCTCTCCTCTGATAAAAGAAGGGAGTTTTTTCTCATCTACTGCAGACCATGGCATAATAGCTGTAAACCCCTTTTCTGTCACACGCTGTCCCGTGCAATGGAAAGTTTCTCCACCAATTGACATTTCCACTTTAGTCCTGAGATATCCATCCAAGAGAATACCATATATAACATATGCAAAGAATAAGCTGTAACTGACATGGATCAAGCTACAAGCAAGGCTTTATTTACCTCATGTATTTGCAGTTAGGTGAGACGGTGCCAATAAAATGTTGACAGACATACTGATAGAGTCGCCAAGCATCTCCTCCGACCATGGCCTCGGTTGCTGCTCGCATCGGGGTGATAGGAGGATGGTCTCCAGCATCGGTTCCTGACTTTGGCTTATGAAAGCCATCTGAGAGAAGCCTCTGTACGAAACCACCCCATACTGGATTACTAACTTGTGCTCTGAGTGTGTCTGTGAAGTCGAATGAAGAAGGATAGGCTGTGCTTTCTGTGCGCGGATAGCTTGCAGAAAACATCAGACTTTGAGTCAAAATAGGAATCAGGTTTAAATGAATAATGCAGGGAAAAATGTGATGCATGTATATCCTCATCAGCGACGGTTTTTTCCGTTTCCTATCAAAAAGTTATTAATTACACAAACAAAACTACCATTCATTAACAACTTAGGATTTATCAAAATTAGCAAATTATATGCTGGTGCAGAGGAGTTGAATGACAAAAATAATAGTCTGGAAAATGGAGCAACCAACCTGATGAAGCCTTGAGTATACAATCGCTCAGCAAGATGCATAGCCGTCTGAGGCCCAAATCCTAGAGCACTTGAAGCAACCTGTGTAACCGCTTTTGTTATACTAGATCAGGGAGAGTTATATGAACATAACTTGCTTTTACTGAACTCGTGAACAAGATTAAGCAATGGAAAACGCTCCAAATGCAACAACAAGAAAACCAAAAACAGGATAGATAAAACAAGAGTTAACGAACATCTCCATTGTGTTGCCAGCTCGTCCCGAAAAAAAAAAAAAACCATGATGCTGATAGAAACAAAATATCTTTGGATGAATGCAGAATATTTCAGTTTTCTAGTCAGTGTTTTGTGTGGTTGCCTAAAGTATAATGTACAACCAGACAAGTTCATTTGATCACCACTCACGACATCTCTCACCTTTAGCAGATTCACGGTGTTAAGACCAGCTGGACGACCTTTGACTTCCTGCTTTTCTGATACGTCAATTACTTTTGCAGTTCTGCCTTCCACAACCAACTTTTGAAACACAATAGCAGCCTACAATTTTGAAAGAATATGAATATATATGCAACGCGAGATTGGAAAGCAACAGTCAAGGATGTCAAAGAAATTCTAACACAAGAACGAAACACTAACTTCCAGGTCGAACAATCTACGTCTATCCCACTCTAGTTGAAGCTCATAACCATCCTTTATTAAATGGGGTCGCAGAGACCAAAACTTTTCTGGCTTGAAAGTATTAATCTGCATGTATCGTTGCACACAAAACCCAAGAGTAGGAGTCTGGCATGGCCCATAACTGAAATAAACATTTAAAAGGATCTTCAGTAGTTGAAAGAATTAAACCAGATGAAAACAGTGACTTAACGAAGAGGAATAACTTAGTTGGTAATATAGTTTACATAAAAACTAATATTGAAGTTGAAGGGTGACGGAAAGGACATGAAGTCAGGCACACTCTTATCGAATTTTGAACCCCAAGCGAGCTAGAAACATCATTGAATCTGACAGCTCAATTTTTCTCTTAATATGAGAAATAAAGAGGTGCTTATACAGAGTTAAATAACATTAAATCATAAGTCTTCAAAGCTATGTCTATACTTCTTTTTAGCATTTACATGAACTGCGTTACCCAGATGCTCTATATGTCAGGAGATAACTACGATAGAATTCCACAGACGCATCTTATATGATTCAACCATATCAAGAAAAAGTAGACACAACTTTTCAGAGAATCTTTACACATGAAACAAAAAGAGAGGAAAGGAAGGAGACGAGAGGAAACTGACGAGATAACTCTGCAGTCTAGACTCTGGTATTTGCCTTGGAAATAACTTGTTTGGAATCGCGAGAATGTTACACCAACTTTTAGATCTATCTCTTGACGAGCATCTACTGCCAGTGCCTCATCCCTGTTTGGTTCCACGAGGTTGTCCATGGCCTTTGATATATCTTTTTCAGTAACAGAAGAAAATCGTGCCCGATAAACCTTTCTCTTACTATCTTTCATGTCAAAGCCAGTGCACTCCATAACTACAGAAGTTATAATGGTCAACAAACGTCCATCAAAACCATGTGCATTCCCAAATATGAGTGGCATAAAAAGTAGTTTTGCAGGAGAAAAACGAGTAAGATGTTGGCTGTTGCACCACATATTCAGGTGCTAAATGTATAAAACATAATTGAACCCGCAATCTACTACTACAACTTAAAGGGTCTACCATTGGATCCTGGCATGATATACAGATTCAACAGTATGATTTGTTTCATTTAGCCAAAACAGATAGCAAAATATAGTCATAGATTCAAGGTCAACAATTACCAACAGAATGGATGCAATGATTAGAAGCAATAACTTCTGTATATTTCAAGCAAAGGCTGGTGAGAAGGAAAGTGAAAAACGGTATATAGACTTGCCTTCAAAACATATATTCTCCCCTTCACGATCGCAATCCAACCACAACACCATATAACTGCAACCACGAGCTTCATTACTTAAATGCCTACAAATATGAGCCTGACATTTGAAGACTGTTAGCGAAAAGTGTACAGTAGCTTAGCAATAAAAGAATGCAAGTAGCTTATAACCACTATAAAGATGCATGTCTACTACTAACTACTCAACATACGCATAATTCTTGTTCCATAAGTCATACTAATCGTTTTTCGTAAACAAGCAATAAAGCTCATCCCTTAATTTATACAAATGTTACTA